ATCTCTAGTTGGCCCATTTATATACATCCACCAGCTATTTGTACAACATTAATTATTTTCCATTTCTTATCTGTCACAGAGTGTATTTGTTTAACAAAATACAAAACACTACTGGCACCGAGCTAATTTCACAGCAAAAGTGAAAGGTCCACTGACTTCATCTATAGATGGTCACTTCAATGCCGCACACATGCCATTTAAACCTTCTCTATGCACTTTTTACACACTAGTTGAAAATATCTACCTGGGAAAGGGTTAAGTAAATTTATTTTACTTGCTAAATTCATATCATGAAATGTGCAAGGTCTCCATCTAATGCTGAGACTGAGATAGCTCATGAAAATCACACATAGAAGGGTCAGTCTCCCAAATGGGACCTCACCCAAAAATTAAGGAATAGAGAAATATCTGCTTATTGAATAAGCTGAATTTTATAAGCTGAATTTTCTGAGCATTTATGAGATTTAAATATCTAATGATAAGCAAACTATTTGATTAGGATCAAATGAAACTTTATGAAACTAAGTGGAATCTAATTTATAATATTAAAATAAACATACAAAAGAATCATGTTATTAATGAAACAAAATTAGAATTATCCAGCATGCACAGCTTGTCCATGGCACAGTTGGGTTAGAAGTAAAGTCTACCCGATTCCGGAGGCCAGTTTCTGAACCACTGGAGCATGCACCATACATGGCTTCATTTATGTATGCAGTTGCAGACACAAACACATACCAGGTATGTACATAAGTGGCCAAGTGCTCTATGGCATAGTAATTAGGTTTTGCCTTTTGCTGTCTCTCTCTACTTTATTCCCTCAGCTTTTTGGAATGTCATGGTACTTAGAGGACAATCTTAATGAAGGGCTCTGCCTATGTGGCCAGTATGAAGGACTAGCATGGGTGACTGCCTCAGAACTGCCTAGCTTCTCACTCCTTTCCTCCACAGCTTCCATCTTTCTGATCAGAATCTGGCCTATGCTTTTGGCAAGCCCTTAGACCAACTGGCAACATGGTCTAGTGATCAAACTTCTAGACTCAGGAATCAGAATGCTTGGTTTGAATCTTGGCTCCTGCCACTGTGTTGCATACTTGAACTCACTGTTTAACCTTGGTGCTGCACAGCCTTCATCGGTAAGATGGCAATAACAGCACCAACATTGGAGGATTGCTAGGATGATTAAATGAGTTCCTATAGGTAATGTGCTTAGAACAGTGTGTGGTAGAGCGTAAAGGATGTAAAAGTGCTAGAAACTACTATTCTTGAATTCAGCCTCTTGCTAGAAGGCTAGAAGGGTCCTTCAGTCTTAGAAGATTTACTCCTTCCTCTACTTTAGCTCCAACAGATCTGTGCAGCCTCCATATAGTCTACTTCCCTGCAAAGGCAGTAAATCCAGACACAGTAAATTGTGTCTTACGTAATCTCCATGGCAAACTGACAGGTTCCTATAACTTAATTGCCACTTTGAAAGTAGACTCTGACTTTTAAGAACCATATTCATTCATTCATCCAACAAATATTTAGTGGATCCCTCCTATGGATTACCAGAGCTACATCATACAACAAAAAATAAGGAAAGCAAGAAAAATTGACTAGAAGGTAAAATACAAATCAGCAATTATTCTTTAGCAACCTAATATAAACACTTTCCAGAAATTACACAGCCACAATAAACAATGAATTATACTGCTCTTTAAGAGCCATTTGGATGCCAGTCAGTTATGCTGACAGACAAGAATGTTTCAGTTATATAATTCTGGCTGGAGGCCAGTTATCATTCAGTTTAAGCATCTAGTCCCAGTGACAGGATATGAGGAACAGCTGAATTGAGAAAATGCAGATAGGGATAACAGGACTGCCACTTGGATCTGACAAATATTGAGGTGGCAGTAATGTAATTTTAAGCCTTCAAAAATAACCTGTAAGACTATGTGACAGGGTGGGGTGAAGGTGGGATGGGGGTAGAAGGGTATGGAATTGGGGGAAACAGATTTAATTAAGAAATTGTAAGCCAGGAAATGTAAAAAGTTAATGGTACTTCACCCATTTTTTCAATTTGTAGCATTCAAAATACTAGCTTCCTGGACCAGCCTGAAGGGACAGCTTTTAAGACTCCTCCATCCCATGATGCCATCAGCAACATTAAATACGTCCTCTCCTCTGCTCTGTTAATAAAAGCACCGCTGTTATACCTTTAGTAAGTGAAGAAACTGAGATGGTTTAGGGCACTGTGCAAGGGAGTAGTCAATTTTGGACTCCAGTGTGCTTGGCTGCCTTTAAAGTTTATCAATTCTTGTAAGTTTAACAGTTTGAATGAGCCATATTTTCTACATTCCTTGATCATTCACTATAATATTTAAACTTTAATGTTCCATTTGAGTAACCTACAGCATCTGACACTCAGAACATTTTTATTTATTCTCAGAAGCAGTACATGTCGAAGATGAAATAAAAGTTGACACAAGTTGATGCCTCATTAATCTCTAATATAAACAGAAATTTCTCTGATTCTCTGAAAGCATTTTATAATTGCCTTGAGGTTGAAACTCTCTTTAACCCCCTTGTTACAAAATTATTTATGGGTAGAAATTAGGTATGCAGCCCTCTATGTGAAATCTTAATTATAACTCTTTCAGCTGATTTTTGTGCCCTTGGATGAGGTATAAGTTAGAATCATAGCTGCATAAATTAAAATAAAGGCTACACAATTGAACATAGCTATCCTGTGGTTTAGAAGTGAATTCCTAGCACCAGATCCACTCATTGTTTCTCCACATCCACTCTTATTTCACAGGAGCAAAAAAAAAAGAACAGACATAAATGAGAGAAAAATAAAAACAACCTTAGTTCACTATTATCCTTCAGCTACTGAAATCTTCACTACTAGTATGTTTTCTTGAGGACAGGGCCATGTCTTGTTCCTTCTATGGCTAAAGCCTAGCTCTGTGATTAACACAGTGGGGCTTGTAAATGGTTGCTGAATGGAATCAAACTTTGGGGCTTAATCTGCTTTCAAATATTTTTTACACATATTCAAACAAAAGCTCATTTCATTGTTTAATCATTGCATTCACTCCTTTGTGCAGTCCAACAAAAGGAAGAGCATACTGAAGATACTTTGGCCAACAGCAAGATTAAATCAAAAGATCCCTGAAATGTGACTTCTGAGATCTCCCTTATTTAACAGCAGGTCCTAAAGCCAGAGGCAAGGCCACCTGACTATTTCAGGCCAGGCTGAGGGCTCTGCTCTCTGGCCTCTAGCCTCACTACCACTCCACCTGGCCTTACCTAGCATCTGTTTAACACTACATGGGGTATAAAGGGTAATTATTAGTAGAGACAAGAATTAATTTGTCAGGGAAAGCCAAATGAGCAAATGAAAAATACTTAAGGTTTAAAAGCAGTTTAGATTTTATAACCTAAGGCAAGCTGCAATCTGTTCTCCAGAAAATAGCTATGAATGAAAAAAAAAAACAAAACAGTATTTTCTGGACCTATTTAGAGGGCAGCCTCCAACACCCATTTTTTAGGGGAGGTATGAAAGCCCAGGCTCTAGGCCTTGGTTGAAGATGTGCTTCATGACTTACTGGATGGGCAATCATAGGTAATGTTCAACTTTTCTGAGTTTCAGGGCCTCCTACATAAAAGGGAGCTGATGTAAAAGGGGATCTGGCTTAGGGTTTGTTGTAAGGGGAAAATGAGATGATTTCACCAGTGTCAACACTCAGTGGGCAACCAATCATTGAGACAGCTTCTCTGACCACTCATACTATTACTATTATTACGGCAGTAGTCAAATCACAGGTAAAAGGGGAGCAGTCAATACTTGACTCACTGTTATTTATTGTACCAGCTTTTTCTGTTTATAGTCCCCTTCAGCAGAGCATACTCTGCTATTAATGAAAATGGGGATCTGATCATTGTGGTCTTCCCTGGTTCAATCAGGACAACCAGACTGTATCAATAATTTGGGAGAATGAGGCAGGATTGTGGCTCCCTTTGAATTCACCTGTGTTTTAAAACTAAGCACTTCTTTTAGAGCAATATAAAAGTATTGTCTCCTCAGTATATAAAAGTACCATCAGGGCAGTATCCAGTTCTCAGAGATCCTGTATTGAAGGGCAGCTAAGCAGGTGACACCACTAACTGTGAGTGATTTTAATACTCTGCGGCATGTCAACTGATTGGGATTTGCACTGTAGTTACTGCCATTTTCTTAGTATCACTTTGAATCATCTAATCTGGATTTAAATCCTAGCTCTGCCAGTCTCCCTTGATCTCATTTCTGAACCTCTCTTTTCTCATCTGCAAAACATAGACAAAAACAACAGAAGGAACCTCACAGGGTTATTGTGAGGGAAAAATGAAATGGCTGATAAGGCACTTAGCAAAGGGCTTTGATCGATATTAAATGTTGTTGCTATTTTATTCTTTTCCTGTGGGCTACCTAAAATTCTAGCATTCAAATCTATGCAGGGAACATACCCAAAGTAACCTGTCAACTGTAGAAAAGAGGGAGTCTGAAAGAGTATTTACATGGGGCAGCACCATGATCAAAACTCAACTCACACTAGCTGCAGTGTGATAATGACCAGTATATACTGAGCATTCACTGTGTGCAGACCTCCATGGAGCAAGTTACATGCATGGCATTTGTCATGATGAGGAGTAGGGGGGAGGCCAGAGGTGAGGAGATCAATTCAGAGTGGAAGAAAAGGTAAGGAGAGCTTTAATCCATGCATGTAACAAACAGAGAAACAGGCCCAAGAAACTTGGCAGATAACCCTGTGAAACCCGAGTGGCCAGACAGATGGCAGTGCATGTGTGTGTACAACTATGTTCCCCGACTGAAACTGAGTAAGTGACCCCAAACACAGGCTTCCCTTCTCAAAGGGATCACTTTGAGAACTACCACTTGAGGGTGCTGAGATAATGATCTACCATCTGATAAAAATGAATCACTGAGCATTTAGAAGTAAAGAAATAAAACCACTGACCTCAAAACATTTTTCTTTCTTGGCCTGGTGAAGCAGACTAGCTATTCCAGGAAGCAAAACTGGAAAAACGAATGTTTCCAAATATTCTTTGGGAGAGCCTAAAACAAACAAAAAGATTCCTACTAAAAATCCCAAATTGCTGTCAAGGTCACAGGCATCAATTCAACAACAACAGAAATTCCCAATTTGGGGTGCTGTAAAAAAGGAAATTTTATTCATTGCCAAAGAGCTCAACTGTGATACACAGTACAGCTGTGAAAACAGCATGGCTGTGTGGTGGCCCTGGGGTTAGGATCCTCTATAGCTAGACAGCTCTGTCCTGCTTCACTCTGTGTCATTGTAATTTGTGCTACACTGATCTGCTCTACTCTGCTCTGGTGAGACACCTTCCCTGTTTCATTTCAGCTGGGGACGCTGTCTTCAGTCTTCTGTGGAAAGGAAAAGTGTGCTCTTACAACTAGGACTTATAGAAACAGAAGTTCTTAACCCCAGTCCCTGATTGGTCTGTCCCCATGCAAATGAGGACTCCAAATTCTTGCCGTTTGATTGGTCCAAAAGGCACTGTCATGATTGCTCAAAATGAAGCCACTTTGGTTGGTGGAGATGTTAATGGAGTGGAGGGATATAGCTGCACAGCTCCTATTGAATGAGGAAAGCCTAAATCCTATTGGCTCAAATAGGATTCAAGAACTCTTTTATAAGGGCTGACTCAAATAACAGAAGCAAAGGGCAGGCAAGCAGTTCAGTGCACACTTCTCCCTGAAGTACAGTTTGCATGAGAGGCCCCCATGTAGAAATGGCTCCTAGGTTCTGTTTTTTTAAGAATTTAAGTCCAGTTAGCCACCAATAGCCCTTCTTAGTAGTATCTCCTTCTCAGGGCTCACACAGCAGGACTAATTAATCTGGGAAAACCGTTTGCTTCTGAACCAAAAAACAAACAAACAAAAATCCAAAACTCCAAAACAAAAAAATTGTCCACAAAATAACATGACCTTAAATATTACTGGAGACTCCTGAGTTGGGCTGTGTTGTATTACTAAGGAAACCTTAAAGTACATTTGCACCTTTGCAGTTTAGTGAAGATATGGGCCAGGTGTTACACAGCTGCAGGTATAGCAAGGCCAATGTGACTGAAGGAAAATGAGCAAGGGGAGTGGGGTAGCAACTGAAGTCAGAGAGGACAAGGGTTGGAGTACAGTGGATAAAGCCTCATGACGACAGTAATGATATCGCTGGTTGCCAAGGTCCAATGTACACTAGCAAAAAGAAGAGAACAAACCGGGAAAGGTCTTGGCACCAGGAGGGTATAGAGGAACCAAGGCTCAGGCAGAAAGGCTTAGGAAGCATGCATCTCTGACCACAAAGCAGGGCAGTATTGTATTTTCTTCTACTTTTTACATTTTTGCCCCTCTCTATTTAAAGCAGAATCAGAGTATGCATGTTACTTATCATTAGTACGATATTTCAACCTTAAAGATAAATCAATGGACTAAAGGCTACTTCTTTTAAAAATTAAAACAAAAATTAAAAGAACACATTGGTTTTTTTTTTTAAGATTTTACTTATTTATTTTTTAGAGGGGGAAGGGAGAGAGAAAGAGAGGGAGAGAAACATCAATGTGTGGTTGCCTCTCATATGCCCCTTAGTGGGGACCTGGCCTGCAATCCAGGCATGTCTCCTAACTGGGGATCGAACTGGTGACCCTTTGATTCACAGGCCAGCACTCAACCCCTCGGCCAGGTCAGTCAGGGCAAGAACACATTCTTTATGTGGTCTCTTTGAGGTCTGTTTGTCCACCCCAACTCCTACCCTATGGTTTTGCAATGTTACAAACTCCCAACTAAGAAAGGTAAAACCTTCCTTACTTACATGTTTTTGGATCTACTGTTTCTTGAGTGCAGGGTATATGTGAATTCATGGTCAAATGAGGAACCGAATAAAGGTGTTCTGTATTGAAGCCATGGAAAACTGTTTCTTCCATTGGTGAAACCTGGTGGGGGTGGGGTAAAGAATAAATTCCTATAAATAGTTTAAAAAATTGCATTTTCTTTTGTAACCTAAAATAGAAATAAGATTCTGTATCAGACTTTAGATTCAAGGAGCACAAGTCTTTGTCTCTCTTCCCTCCTATTACACATTACACATAAATGACAAAGAATAAATCCCCAGTAGAGAGAATACAAAGACCAATAGAGAGAATACAAAAACTATCAGTGGAGGAGAGATTTGCAAACATTCCCAAAAGAAACAGGGACGATGAGCTTCTTATCAGGTAAGAGAGTGGGGAAGTGGCAGCCCAGAATCTACAGTGGGAAACTATACCAGAAGATGGAAGTCCATCTTCCCACCAGAATTCCAAAGGGCTTCACTGCTCAGGGGTTCAACTCCACAGAGGGTAAGAATGAAAAGGGAATGATAACCAACAAGAGGGGTTAAGGGAAAATCTGGGTGGGGCTCCACTGGCCTGCTGTCCACATTTCCCCTCCCCCTCCTCCTGCCCTCTTCGATATACACAAGCTATGTTCACAGCAGCTCTTTCTTTCCAGTTTTCCTTTCCAATGACTCTTCTGTAAACAAATTAAACAAATAGCCTTGGAAGGAGGATAACTACTCAGGGTGCCATGTTGGTGGTCAAAAGAAAAGAAAATCCACCACTGATTTACTGATTTGGAGGCTGTGGACCCTGAAGAAAAGTCTTCCAGTGGTCAGTCACTCCACATGAGCTCTATAGGGTAAATGGAGGCAGTATGGCTTCCTCATCCAGGTGTCTGGGTACCTCAAGGAAGCTGTTTCCCCATAATCTTGAATGGGACTGATAAACTGTGATCTCATAGCCTTGAGACTGGGTCCGATAAACTGTTCCCATATCCCTGAGTGGGTTCGTATGCATAGTATAAAGCTCTGTTGCATAAGATCTATTGGCACCCTGTTAGCTTTGTCTGTATTCTAGTACTTAAGCAGATAGGGACTCCCTGCTGGGTGCCACAACGAGTGCCACGCAAGGAGACAGGTGACATGCAGTGTGCCATACAGAGACATGCAGGGAGATGTGCAGCATGCGTGGCTCACCCACCTGTGAATAAAGGCATGTCAAGCACCCCCAGAGCTCCATGCATTTTCTTTTGTCTGCTCAAATCTAGAGCAGACCTGCCAGGTCTTGGCTAGCTGCAACGCAAGCTTCTAGTCAGTGTTTTTATTCAAAGAATAAATCTATCAGGAAAACAAATCCACGTGTACAAGAGTAGAAGAAAACCACATGAGCTATGTAGAAAAATCCCCTCAGGCACCCATTTTACATTTTGAATAAGTAGTCAAAACTTCCTACACAGACAAACAGCGTGAACAGTATAAATGACAAAGATCAAGATCTACAAGGAAAAACTGACCCTGGAAGAAGCACAAATAATTCAGGGAAGGGAACTATGATTATTATTTACAGGAAAAAGTTGAGAAAACATTGTATACAAAGAACAAGAACAATACAGTCCAAGATAGTTCTTAAACATAAAATTCTTTAAGAGTAGCAGCTGTAGTAATATACTGGAAAGCTAGTCTTACACAGAGTTTGGTTCCATCCCTGTGACACTGCTAAAGCCCCTTCATCTCTCAGTCTGCTTTGTTTTAAACTCCATTAAATTCTTATTTTATTCCAAGTAGGCTGCCTGAGGGCCTCTCTTCCAGGCTGCCCTGTTCGTTCTTGGCTGTCTTTCATTAATATAGTTTTCTTCTCACCCACTGGGCATGCACAGGGAAACCTGCTCTATCTGCAACTGTCCCCAAGGATCAAATGAGATCATCCAGGAGGCACTGTGAATTAATCAAGGATTATCTGAGTCATTTAGCAGATGTGGAAAATGGGGCTTAAAGAGGTTATGAGACGCCTTTTAAATCACACTGTTCGCAATAGAGATAGGACTGGCCCCACATTTCTGATTCCCGTTCCTGTGTCTTTTTAAATTCATGACCTTGTGTGATGTTCACCACCTATCAGTGCTGTTTTTATTTAAAAGCTTTTAATTTAGGTCGAGGTGGGGCAATACTCACAGTAATCACAGTTTCTGGTTTGATTTTGTATTCTTCTGGAAAAGGAGGCAGCTCAGCTTCATACTCTAAAGAGCAAAAGGGGAAAAATCTTCAATTCCATCCTTCATTGCAGTTTATGATATAATTTTCTTTCTTCTACATCAGAGGTGTCAAACTCATTTTCACCAGGGGCCAAATCAGCCTTGCAGTTAAGCTGAATGTAATTCTAGGACTGTATAAATGTAACTATCCTTTAACTAGGAGCAAAAAGTTCAGTGCTGCCACCAGGTAGAAACAAGGTGCCAGGCCAGATAAAACAAGGTAGAGGGCCAGATTCGGCCCTCGGCCTTGTGTTTGCCACCTGTGCTCTAAATAGTATTACATTTTATTTTGGTTGGTGGTTTATAGAAATGAAAAACAAGTGGCCATTACAGATTAAAAATTAATGTGAACTACCTTATTACAATGAATAAGAGGTAATTGCTCTTATTTACCACTTGTTGAAGAGTCCAGGCTTTATGTATGAGTTCAACTTTCCCCAAGAGAGTACAAATTTAGATTTTTCTCTCTACAAGAGAATGAGAGTGACTAACAGAAGAATATGACATACAGGGAGGAAATAGGGAAAAAAAGGAAGAAAAGGGATTGCAGGGTACAATAAGAGATAGAAGGAGGACAAGCCATCTCAGGTAAAACTACCAGTTTGGGGTACATGACTGTAAAAGCAAGCCCATAAACCCTTGCTATTCAAAGTATGGCCCCAGAACCACCATCATCATCATCCCTGGCAAGTTAAAAATCTAACATCTCAGGCCCCACTGCAGACCTGCAGAACTTAAATCAGCATGTGATTTGTACTTCTATTCACATAAACTTAAAGAAGTCCTGCTGGAAGCTTCTGCAGTTTCCTATCCTGGCTGCATGTTACAATTACCTGGGAGTTTTTTAAATTACCCATGTCTTGGCCCAACTTAAGAAATTTTGATTTGATAGGTCTGTAGCAAGAGCCTGGGAATCAGTACTTTTCAAGTTCTCCAAGTGATTTTTTAAAAATATATTTTATTGATTGTGCTATTACAGTTGTTCCATTTTCCTCTATTTATTTCCCTCTGCCCTGCACCCCCACTCTTACCCACAAACCCCGTTTAGTTCATGTTTATGGGTCATACATATAAGTTCTTTTTTTTTTAATCTTTTATTTTTAAAATTTATATTTTTCTTGATTATGCTGTTACAGTTGTTCTATTCCCCCCTTCATTCCCCTCCACCCTACCCCCCCATCCCCACCATTACCCCCCTTTAGTTTATGACCATGTGTCTCAGGTTCTTTAGATTCTATATTTCCCATACTATTCTTGCCCCCCCCATCTATTTTCTATATACTGTCTATGCTACTTATTTTCTGTACCTTCTCTTCCCTTCTCCTCCCCCCACTCCCCTGCTGCTAACCCTCCTTGAGATCTTCATTTCTATGTTTCCACTCCTGATCTAGCTGTCCTTTTACTTTGCTTTTGTTTTAGGTATGGTTGTTAATAACTGTGAGTTTGTTGTCCTTTCACTGTTCATGTTTCTTTAACTTCTTTTTCTTAGATAAGTCCGTTTAACATTTCATATAATAAGGGCTTGGTGATGATGAACTCCTTGAATTTGATCTTATCTGAGAAGCACTTTATCTGCCCTTCCATTCTAAATGAAAGTTTTGCTGGATAGAGCAATCTTGGTTGTAGGTCTTTGGTTTTCATGACTTGGAATACCTCTTTCCAGCCCCTTCTTGCCTGTAAGGTCTTTTGAGAAATCAGCTGACAGTCTGATGGGGACTCCTTTGTAGGTGACTGTCCCCTTAGCTCTTGCTGCTTCTAGGATTCTCTCCTTCATTTTAATCTTGACTAATGTAATGATGATGTGCCTTGGTGTGTTCTTTCTTGGATCCAACTTCTTTGGGACTCTCTGAGCTTCCTGGATTTGCTGGAAGTCTATTTCCTTTGCCAGATTGGGGAAATTCTCCTTTATTATTTGTTCAAATAAGTTTTCCACTGGTGGCTGTTCCTTTCCCCCTTCTGGTACCCCTATAATTCGGATGTTGGAGCATTTAAAGATGTCCTGGAGGTTCCTAAGCCTCTCCTCATTTTTTTGAATTCTTGTTTGTTCACTCTTTTCTGTTTGGCCATTATTTGCTTTCTTCTGGTCCACTCCCTTGATTTGAGTCCCAGTTTCCTTTTCATTGCTATTGGTTTCCTGTGAAATTCCATTCATTTCAATTAGTTTTGCCTTCATAAGTTTGTCTAATTTGTGGCTCTAATCAACCAGTTCTGTGAGGATCCTGATCACCAGTGTTTTAAACTGTGCGTCTGAGAGTTTTGCTATTTCTTCATCGTTTAGATTTATAGGCTTTGAGGCTTTGAGATCTTCTTGAGCCATTTTTGGTCTGTTTGCACCTGTTAAGTATGAGGAGCGGAGCCTTGGACTCCCAGGTCGCTGGGTTGTGACGCTGTATGTGGAGGTGGGGTCAGAGCAGGGAAATGGCAGCCCCCTCTGCTGTTTGGCCCCACTGGGTGCAGAGCAGAGCCTTAAGTTGTTCACTGGGGAAGGGCCACTTAGGTCGCTGGATTATGACGCTGTATGTGGAGGCAGGGTTAGAGCAGGGAAATGGCAGTGCCCTCCACCGCAGCTCGCCACTGGGGCTGCTGGCTCTCGTCCAATCGCCCACTCCCTCGCTTGTCTATCCACGCACGAATGTGCAAACGCGCGACCACAGTCAACCCTCAGCCCTGCTTCCTCGCTGTTTCCCCGCGATTGCTTGCTGAGTTGCCCACTAGGTCCAACCCTGAGCCTGGATTCCACGCGCCTGAGTCCGTCTGACCAAGTTTTCCTGTGCTACCCCGCTCTGCCAGCTGCTGGTTTCACCCCTCTTACTGGCCAGGCTGAAGAATTTGTTGTTATCAGACTTCCGAAAAGTTCAATTTTCTGTGTTCTGGCTGTGTTTTCTGTTGCTAGTATTTAGTTATCTCTAAACTTGGTTGTGTGAGGAAGCATGGCTCTCCACCTATGCCTCCATCTTGGCGGAAGTCTCCATATAAGTTCTTTGGCTTCTCTATTTCCTAAACTGTTTTTGACCTCACCCTATTTTGTACCTACCATTTATGCTTCTTATTCCCTGTACCTTTCCCCCATTCTCCCCCTGCCCCCTCCCCGATGATAACCGTTCATGTGATCTCTATTTCTGTGAATCTGTTCATGTTCTAGTTGTTAGCTGTTAGTTTTTGGTGTTTTTTTGTTTTTGCTTGTTTTTTTAGGTTCCGTGGTTGACAGTTGTAGGTTTGTTGTCATTTTACTGTTTGTATCTTTGATCTTCTCCTTTTCCTTAGATAAGTCCCTTGAACATTCACATAATAGAAATTTGGTGATAATGAACTCTTTTAATTTGACCTTACCTGGGGAGCACATTATATGTCCTTCCATTCTTAAGGATGACTTTGCTGAATAGAGTAATCTTAGATGTAGGTCCCTGCCTTAATAACTTCAAATACTTCTTTCCAGCCCCTTCTTGCCTACACAGTTTCTTTGGAGAATTCAGCAGATAGTCTTATGGAAACTCCTTTGTAGATAAGTCCCCTTTTCTCTTGCTGCTTTTAAGATTCTCTCCTTAAATTTAATCTAGCCTAATGTAATTATGATGTGACTTGGTGGGTGCTTCCTTGAGTCCAACTACTTTGGGACTCTCAGAGCTTCCTGAAATTCCTGGGAGTATATCTCCTTTGCCAGATTGGGGAAGTTCTTCATTATGTTTTCCAATCAGTTTTCAATTTCTTGATCTTCCTCATCTCCTTCTGGTACCCCTATGATTCAGATGTTGGAACATTTAAACTTGTCCCAGTGGTTCCTCAGCTTCTATTTTTTGAATTTTTTAAAAAATTTATTTAATTGTTGTTCAACTGCAGTTTTCTGTCTTTTACTCCCATCCCAGCCCACCCCTGCAGTGCTCCACACCTCCCATTTCCACCCCCCCTTAGGTTTCACCGATGTGTCCTTTATACTTGTTCATATAAATCCTTCCCCTTTTCCCCTGAAATTCCCTCCCCTCTCCTCTCTGGTCACTGTCAGCCTGTCCTCTATTTCAGTGTTTTTGTTTTTATTTTGCTGGCTTGTTTGTTTTCTTGTTTAGCTTCCTGTTAAAGGTGAGATCATATGGTATTTGTCTGTCAACACCAGGCTTATATCATTCACTATAATGCTTTCTAGTTCCATCCATGCTGTTGCAAAGGGTAGGAGCTCCTTCTTTCTTTCTGCTGCATAGAATTCCATTGTGCATATGTACCATAATTTTTTGATGCCTTCATTTACTGCCAGGCACCCAGGTTGCTTCCAACTCTTGGCTATTGTAAATTGTGCTGCTGTAAACATTGGAGTGCATACGTTCTTTTGGATTGGTGTTTCAGGGTTATTAGGATATAATCCCAGCAGTGGAATTCCTGGGTCAAAAGGCAGGTCCATTTTTAGTTTTCTGAGAAAATTCCATTCTGTTTTCCACAGTGGTTGTACCAGTATGCAATCCCACCAACAATGGATTAGGGTACCATTTTCTCCACAACCTCTCCAACACTTGTTTGTTGCTTTGTTTATCATGGCCATTCTGACTGGTGTAAAATAGTATCTCATTGTGGTTTTAATTTGCATCTCTCTGATAGCTAGCAATATTGAGCATCTTTTCATGTGTCTCTGGATCTTCTGTATCTCCTCCTTGGAGAAATATCTGTGCAAGTCTGTTGCCCATTTTTTGTGTTGCTTGTCGTCTTATACTGAAGTCCTGTAAGTTCTTTGTATATTTTGGAGATTAAACCCTTGTCTGAGGTGTCATTGGCAAATATGTTTTCCCATATAGTTGGTTCTCTTTGTGTTTTAATACTGTTTTCTTTAGCCATGCAGAAACTTTTTATTTTGATGAGATCCCATTTGTTTATTCTTTCTTTTATGTCCCTTGCTCTAGGGGACATATCAGTAAAAATGTTGCTGTGTGAAATATCCGAGACTTTCCTGCCAATGTTCTCCTCTAGGACTTTAATGGAGTCACAGCTTATATTTAAGTCTT